CTGCTGCCGCTACGTGCGGACAGCGCGGTCACGGCCGACCCTTGCTGGCCGTCCGGCAACAACTGCTGAACCAACTGACCTCAAATAACATGACATGAACATATGAACATGTTTACATTGAAAACATGAAAATTTACTGAAAGGGCTGAACCTTGGCCGCGGCGGACGCATCGGGCGCCGCCGACGGCGTCGTGCCGTCTGACGACCAAATCTCAAATATCCTCGGCAATTCAAACTTTACTGAACAGGATTAAAATCTACTGAATAATTCACATGAAAATGCCCGAGAACAAGGAACTTAACATATTGAACAAGCACGTACGGCCAGTGGTGCGCTACGTGCGCAACCACGTCACCTTTGGCCGCAACACCGCATACATGACTACTCATCTGAACCCTTAAGTTAAACTAAACATGATTTGGCATATAAAAGCTAAATATACGAGAATAGTTCAGAGGATGTTAAATTAAAACATAACATGATCGGCACGGCTACGGCTTTAACCACACATATCACGCATGCACGTTTAACTACGAGCTAAACTTAATAAGCATGCTAATCTCGGTCAATAACCGTCGGGAGTTACCTTTGATTAAGCCCAAGTGACTAATCTTCTCGAACTATCGTACTCGATCGTGACCCTTCGCGTGTGTGCGATGTCGTGCGATGGCTTCGGTGCGGCGACGGACCCCTACGATACTCGTGGATGCTTGCGTACTCTTGCTCGACGAACGATATGCTGACTGCCGTGAAGGACTACTGATACGAGTACGACGATTGCTGCTTGCGATAGCCCACGGTGCACGAACTGCTTGCGGTACGGTGCGATGGCTCAGACGTGCGATGGCCTTGCTGTGCGACGATCGTCGTGCGGTACTTACTAGCCGTGTATGCAATATAGGCTAAAGTTCTTTGCTGAATTTTGGCTAAGTGTTGGGAGGATACAATAGCTTAAATGGTGTGGCAAAAATCGTCCCAACACCCCCCTTTTATACTCAAGAATGCATGGGGCAAAATGATGAAGGGATGATGTGTTAAATTCTAAGCTTAACACTTGCCACATTAAGGGTTAACTTAAGGTGACTAATCACCACAAATCTTCCCCATTTGACACGTTAAATGTTCCACTAAGGAATAATTTGGATCAAATTATCCTCTCAAACTTCCCACTAAAATGGTACGGCTTTTAGGAAAATAATAGAGAAATGGGTACGGTTTATATGGCTAATAACCATGATTAGTGATTAATTAATCACTCTATTATATTTAATTATTAATTAAACATAATGCTTAATTACCAAAATTATTCCAAACGTAAACGGTACGTCGAAAATAATTTCCGGTAATTTCGACTGAACTGACTGAAATTAATTAATTCCGAAAATTAATATCGGAACTAAAAATATAATTTATACTAAAATTGACGGGATATTACATATTTTGACCATATTTCATCATCTTCACTAACTTCATTACTCAAATTATAGTCAGAATCATGCAATGAATTAGAGTCAGACTCACAGTCACTAACCCCCACAAATTTCCTAACTGTTTTGTAGGCTTCCTCAATTGGTACCCACTTACTGTCTAATTGTTTTTTTGGATTAGGATTGGGTACAACAGGAGTTTCAACTTCCACATCAACATATATAATCAACTCTCTGCTTTTAATAGCTTGAAGTGCACATTTTTGCAGGTCAGCTTCAACAGGCAATAACTTAAAACCATCTTCATCATAAATGTAATACCTCTTACCCCCAATAACACCTGCTTGTTCACACCACTTATTCAAATATGCAAACTTCATTTCATCTTGGGAAGTATAATCACATATAAACCTCTGCCCCCCTTCATATTTTGCTGTATGAGTATGAATAAACTTCCCACCCCAATGCACAACTAATGAGAAACTATCTGAATCAGGACCATATTTCATCATCTTCACTAACTTCATTACTCAAATTATAGTCAGAATCATGCAATGAATTAGAGTCAGACTCACAGTCACTAACCCCCCCAAATTTCCTAACTGTTTTGTAGGCTTCCTCAATTGGTACCCACTTACTGCCTAATTGTTTTTTTGGATTAGGATTGGGTACAACAGGAGTTTCAACTTCCACATCAACATATATAATCAACTCTCTGCTTTTAATAGCTTGAAGTGCACATTTTTGCAGGT